ATATAACTAATAGTTACTGTAGTTTTGTTTCATAGTAACTTAAGTTTAAAATTTGAACATAAATAACTATGACTAAGTTATTACTTTAAGGCGTTCATAATTTTGTAAACAACACTTATTTAGTCATATATATGTAATAATCTGTTAACGAAATTACATGAATGAAAATCACAGATGATTATGAATCCACAATTATATCTATGTATTGTATACTTTCGTGGCTAGTCTGTGTATATAATATGATGAGGAGAAAATGTTTTATAGTCGAAAATCTCGTATACATGAATTAATTCCACTTTAGATCCTCCGAGTTCTATGTCATTTCCATATTTAATCCTCGTCTTTCACTTTATCCATTTTTGGTACCTGACTATTGTTTTCTTGATCATTTCCGGTCAATTTCTGGGCATTTTTACTACCGGAAAAGGACTATATATGGTCAAGAAAACAATAGAAAGGTACCAAAAATGGATAAAGTGAAAGATGGAGACTAATTGTGGAATTGGTGCAAAATTCGAAAGACCAAAAGCGGAATTTCTTCTCGTATGCATAGTCTTGTACTCACAGGGATGGATCTAGGGGGGGGGGGGCGACCGCCCCCCTTGGACTATCAAAATTTTCTACTATATATATAATATTTTAATAAAATTTTCATACTCTAACTAGATTCGCCCCCTTTAACTTTTAGTTTCAAAATTAATATATAGTCTTACATAATGTAATACCTACTTGGAAATTTAAAAGAAGGTACATCTAAAATAATTTAGATAACTTAAGCAAATAAACAATAGAACAACTCATTGTTTAAAAGCTAGTCACGGTTATAAAGGGTTATAAAAGATTAAAAGGTTATAGTCATAAAGGCACACTAGGTATACAGTCATAAAGGCACACTAGGTATCTAAACTCCCAGAGTTATAATGGGTACTAGTCATAAAGGTTAAAGGGTTAAATAGGCCATTGAGCTGACTTAAAGTGTTCAATTAGCCCCTTACATATGAGGTTCTGCCCGGCCGTCGCTAATTGCGACGGTTCCCGGTAGAATTTTTTGATGAAATTTTTTGAGCATCTTCTTCATTAAGTCTAGTTTACCCTTACCGAATTTCAGCTAAAAATTCAACCAGGAAGGCAGTCAAATGATTTTCCAAAATGTATTGTGTTGTTTAACTTCACATTTATCTTCAAAAAATCATTTGACTGCCTTACCGGTTGAATTTGTAGCTGAAATTTGGTATGGGTAAACTATAATTCATGAAGAAGATGCTCAAAAAATTTCATCAAAAAATTCCACCGGGAACCGCCCCAATTGGCGACGGTCGGGAAAAACCTCCTATATAAGGGGCTAATTGAACACTTTAAGTCAGTTCAAGGGCCTATTTGACCCTTTAGCCTTTGTAATATTTAATAGTCTTTATTAGATAACTCATAACTAGTACTCGATTTTGTAAAATATATATCAAACAATATTAAATATCAGACAAACTAGGTATACAGTTTTTTGAAAATGTGAAGTGAAACCAAAATATACTCCGTAAATGTTTATTGACATTAAATTACACAGTTCATTTACTTCTTACTTTCTAAAAACAATTTATTGCATATATAATACTCCGTAAACTTCAACTTATTTTAGCATTAATACAACTATAATATGCACCATATCTACATGAATTAGAAATATAATATCATTATAAATATAATAATCTCATACATACTATTGTAATATTAAGAAAACTCATCATGACTCACAAACACCCTCTTTGATAGATAAAAAGTATTGATGGATGTGTGCCTTTTAAACTCTTTATCTTTAAATAATTGGATAAAATGTTATATATCCTTTTTTATTTTAAAATTATTTTCCTTTGATTTGTTGTTTCATATGTTATAACGTATAAATACTTGCTTCTAGAGCACTTCAATTATAAAATTGAAGTTATTTTGTCATTATCTAAACTCAAAATGTAGTAGATTGAAATGTCAACGTGCATGTATCAATGATTTTTTTTAATAAAAATAGCCGCAAAGTTCTACACTATAAAAAAAATTGCCCCGCTACACTACGAAAAAAATTCGCCCCGCAAAACTAGCGAAAAAAATTTCACTCTCTACATTAATGAAAATTTTCGCCCCCCTTGACTCAAAATCCTAGATCCGTCCCTGCTCACATGCCAATTTGTGGTTTATTCATTTTAAAATTCTTCACTTCACACCAACAATGTCCGCAACTTCTATGTTTGTAACAGTTCAATGACATTTTCCCTACTTGGCTTCAAAGACACTCCAACCCACGCCTTCACCTAGGCATGGCCTCGGGCCGGGTCGGGTTCAGGTCGGGCCTAGGCCCGGCCGGGCTTTTTATGGTTGGGGGAAGGCCCGGGACTGGCCCGGGTTTCCACCGGGTCCAGTTCGGGCCGGGCCTCGGGCCGGTTAATATTTTTTTTGCTTTCCTAACTACTCCCTGACCCCCACCCCCACCCCCAACCCCCCCCCCCCACCCAAAAAAAAACACCCAGCCCAACCCCGGGGGAACCAAAAAAAATTGAAAAACAAAAAAAAAAACATTTTGGCCCGAACCGGGCCGGGTCACCAATTCACATACCCGAGCCCGACCCCGCTTTACCCACCGGTTTGGGTCCAAGCCCGGTACCGGACTGAAGGACCGGGCCAGTCCCAGGCCCACACAGTAGCGGGCCGTGCCGGGTCACAGGCCGGGCGGCCCGAACCGGGTCCAAGCCTACCTTCACCACTTCAATTTCTCCAATTATGCATGATATTTCAGTTTAGAGCGGTTTGATAACCCGTGTTTGGTGATAATCCGTGTTTTCGTGAGTTCCAATATGTGATAATCACAATAAACACAAATGTACCACTCGACAATGTTTATTCTTTGGAACTAAATTTATCAAAGCTAAGTTTAAAATCTACAAATACACCATTGTTAACCACTTGACCGGTTGACCCTATGTTAACCTCAACATTAATCATTCTTCTTTGCCCTTTCTTATTGTCGCTTTCAAGGCCACTTTGTTCTTCATTCTCCACTTAACCCTATGTTAACCTCAACATTAATCATTCTTCTTTGCCCTTTCTTATTGTCGCTTTCAAGGCCACTTTGTCCTTCATTCTTTCTTCTTCTGGTTCTCTTAACCCGGCCCGAATATTTCCCCACATGATCCACCACCTTGCATTGACATAAACATCCAAATGTATGCATTTTAAATTTTTAATGCCTTTCTTCATGGCAAATATCCAGGGAACAACTGGTCTGCACTCTTTGCTTGCATCATCTGGAGCTCAATCAAGGAACTGTTAAATATCAATATTCATGGGAGTTCACCAACAAGTCATGTAAGACTCCAAACGAAAAACCAGATCGATAACATATTCAGTGCAACTGTTAACCTGGTTTCACTTTCATTGCAATAGTCAAAGATAACAATGATGAATGTGTATACGCAATTTCAATAAGACACCCTAACAATCTTTTGAAAACAACTTTTCAACCCTCCATGAGCTCCAGCCTCCATGCAATCATTTGTCGGGTGATCTCAAACTACGACTATAGCTTGACGGGTTAGGTTTACAGAGAGTTTTTAAGAGATCGGAGCAAAACCTCATGGTAAACATAACATTGACTGGTTAGGTTAACTGAAAGTTTTTTAGGCCTAAGAGTTTATGAATTTTTAGCCAGAAAATAGATTTGGTATGTGTTCTCTCGGATATGGTTGAATTTTGTATTTGTTCATTACCCTAACATATAAACAAAGATATCTTTAAATTTCAGTACAAATCTTTTAAAGAACAAAAGAATAATGTGGAGACATTTTCAATCAGTCGCGAATAAACACCCAAGAAACTTAGGAGCCTATTCAAGTAGCTCTCCAATTGTAAGTAACACATTGTCAACAAACTATAGAATTTGAGATATCTCATATATGCACTGTAATGTGCTTCCTTTGCTATCTTTTTGGGTAATGGTTACACCTTGGAATTCAAGAAATATTTATAAATAGCTTATGAGTTTAATCTTAAAAAAGAAAAACAATCCGTACAAAAAATGAGTTTACGGTTACTGGGTGCTGTTCCAATACGACTAAAATGAGTTAACAACTATAAACTGAAATAACCCAAAAGAATAATATAAATAAAACTAACTTGATCAGTGTATTCACCCCCTTCAGGCTTCAGCATAATCCACAACTGTTGGTGGGTGAGCTGACAGTGCTAGAATAAGCCAATCCAGGCCAGCTGAACCAGCTCTTCAATGTTGTTTTATTTTAAAATCCAATTCTGTATTTTGAACATATAACTCTTTTCAACCAAAGCAAAAATTCATTACGGAATTTTCTCATCCTAACAGAACAAAACTACAAAATAAAAAATCTGTTGACTCTAATGCATATGACAGAGGGCGGAGGAACAAAAAAAACAGCAAAAGGGTATGGGAAGTCAGAAAGCAACAGTTTGACCCTTCCTGGTACAACTTTTTAACACCAGACATCCTTTAAATCGTTTCATACTTTCATTGACCCTTCCAGGAAAAATAACTAGGGCCCTAAGCTAAAAAAATTATGTTAGGCGTGTTGGAACCTTAAGAATAATATTAAAAGCTTTACTGAGATTACCACACAAAAATATGTCCACCTCTTTGAAATGATTTCATTTTATTTTTGTAATAGGACCAAGGCCACTAGAATTTACACCATTTGCAATGGAGCCAAAGATTCATTATTTTTTGGCTTGAGAATATGATGGAATAAAGCAAAATGACTCACTAAACTGTTTGCGCTTCTTTGTTATGAAGTAGCAGTCAGTCCATGCAATTTTGGACGCGTTTTTCACTATGGGTCATCCGGAAACAGTCTCTCTGTGCTTTAGTACAGGGGTAAGACTGCGTACATGCGACCCCCCCTTACCCCACCGTAGGTGGGAGCCTTTGCGGTACTGGGGTAAATGAAAATGATGATGACGAAGGCCACTAGAAAAACCAGAAGAGCTGCAACCAGAATGTTTACTTTCATTGCAAAAGAGAAATCACTGCTATTGAATTACATGTCCTAAAGCAAGTGATTTTCATGTGAATCTCAACAACAACAACAACATCCAAGCCTTATTTCATAACAATCTCAATTTAAAAACAAAACAATGAACAAATAATTTCATGAACTCGAACAAACATACATGTTTACTCTTCAATTTTATATGGTCCATCTGTCTCGGTTGACACTGCATGATCACTTACCCAGTACTCTCAAGCTTGGCCATTGCAGGTTTTCCTCCTCAATTTGCACCCATATCTCAGATCTACTGCTTTATCAAGATCATAGCTTCTTTAAACTTTTATAAAGGAAATGCCAAGTATATATCGCAATATCTCAATGCAGAAAACCTTGCCATTTTTTTTACAGAAATAGAAAATGGAACACTTACTGAAATCAGAATTTCTATAGCGCAGCTATAACAAACAATAAAAAACATAAAAATGCAGAAGCAAAAATAGAATAGTTGTCACTATGGATTATTCGACATACACTTCATTGTATTATTATATACCATTGTACAAAGATACAGAATAATCACCGAAGTCATCGTCCCCTCCGGCCTAGTAAGCGTTTTTTCTTGAAGAGCTGATTCAGACTTCTTCCTTTTCCCAGCAGAGAACAATCTGATTAAGGAGGGGTAGTGCACTACTGCTTTCACTTTCTATAATTAAATATTATTTAGCTCCTGAAATCAGATTGTATCCCCCATTTCTCACCTTATTTAGAAATTAGAACTATGAATGAATTAGGAATAATAACAGATTGTTTATTAGTAGGCCATCCATCCATTTTCATTTTCCATTATGAAAACCTAAGATTTCTTCTGTCAATGGTTGTGAGGTGGATTTATAAGATAGAACAGAGATGGTGAGATGCGTACAAGTCACAATGAAGAAGTGGATGGAAATGGAGCTTAGTGAGGCAGATTTTATTCCAAAGGTTGAAGCTTAGCAATGGACAGTCTCTTCACTATTGTGTGCGGACTGTGGATGGATATATGAAGAAGAGACATAACGGAGAGAAGGTCAAATGGAGAAAGAGCAAGGTACTAAGTGTGGATCTTGATCAGTTTAAGACTAGTGTACATTAACAAAAATGCTGTACAAGCTGGCCTAAAACTCACAGTCCTGATCATTTCCAGATGGGTGATTGTGATCCACTGATGGGGGAAACTCACTATGGAAGAATGTATTGAATCATCATTAAGTAACAGGCAGATTCTCTATGTCTATAATTCATTAATTCTAATGCAATATAATCACAACATGAAAAGATAAGGTAATAGATCAAAAAAGAAAATAATGAGTAGGAAAAATTGGCAAAAATACTACATATCCTAGATTGATAGTTTTCAATCATTCAAGCATTTCATCTTCCGGGTCCTGAATTGATAATTAATCTATCTTCCGGGTCCTGAATTGATAAAATTCCATATATCACGGAATTAATCTAATTCCCTTATAACTTCATTGTGCACTAATAGGCTGTCTATAACCATAGTGCATAGCCTCACCAGTTTGATCATTATTTTTTCTCAAAAATCAAAGCCCCAAATCACAGAAAGTTGCACGTCCAACATTTTCACCTGGGATCTATACTTTTACGAGTGTTAAACTAGACTGTTTTCTCCACCTCTTTAAGCAATTCCATAATTGAATTTGGTCTTGATAAAGATAAAATCTCATTCTTAAGAGCTTGTAACATGAAAGGAGAATTGTCTTTAACCAACTTCAAGTGTTCCAGAGCCAATGAATCCTCTCCGGCATCAGTTAAAAATCTCAATACTGTGAGATGGGAGTCCAGGGATGCAATATAATTCGTGTGACTCTGAAGCAATTTTAAAGCAGGAAGCACATAACCTGCAGACATCAGATAAAACCCCTAACCAGGATATTTTGAAAATGCCAAGGATGTATGTTGAAACATACTCTTCATCATAATTGGAGTTAGGAAAACGCATTTTTGGTTGTGAAAGTATAGGAGGTTGGAAAAACTAGTCCAATTGTAAGTTTGAATTGCTTTCCACATTTTAGATCTATTTCTCGAATATCTGAGAATTTAGTCTGGAACCACCACGAAATTGCAAAATACAGTAGAAAATTGGAGATCAAAGTGACATGTCAATTACATTGAATTCAAAAAAATGCTAAAAGATGCACTTTTAGGAATTACAAATGAAAAAAATTGATAACTAACATTGTCCATTAAACCACATTGTTGGCCTTCTAAAAACAAATTTGTCATGTCACCACCACTAGACCTGATCGCTAATATGAATAATACATTTTCTCATGAAGTTTGTAGTTTTGGCAGTTCGGGGACTATTTGACTAAATTGTCGAAATGTTAGAGATTTATGTATAAATTGTGAAATGTACTCCAATGGGACTAGTTTTGCCAACTCCTACAGGGCCAAAAATGCATTTTCTCACAGAGGAGTTATTCTGTGGAATGTGAAAAGCCATACCTCCAGTACAAAGATAGAGGACAAATGAACCTAAAACCTTCTGCGCAAGGATGCTACTTTGAGCAATAGATATGTTGAACACATGAAGAGCCAAGGTCAGATCTTTGGCTTGACTGCCTTGACATAATCCTTTAAGAATGGATTTGTAAGTTGTTTCATCAGGTGCTACCCCTTTTTCAGACATATGCTGAAACAGCCTGTAAGCTTCTTCAGCTTCACCAACTTCTGTAAACTTCTGGATAAGGATGTTGTATGTCTTTATATTGCCAGGGCAACCATTTGCAAACATTTCATCCCATAGCCGTTTGGCGGGCCGCACTAAATCTTCACTACAGCAGGCTTGTAGAAGTGAATTGTAAGATGATATGTCAAGATCAAAACCTTTTCTTTTCATCTCACAAAGAAGATCATAAGCTTCCTTTACTTGACCCGCCTCGCAAAAAAGTGTGATCATCACTTTATAACTTTGTTGATCTCTAAAATATGCTCTAGCAGACAACTTCTGAAAAACCTCAACTAACATTTCAACTTTACCTTGCTTGCAAAGGTTCCTACCCAAATTGTTCAAAGTAAGAAGGGTGGGAAATACGTCTTTGTCAACCATGAAATTGAAGAATAACATGGAGGAATGAGGATCAACAGCCGAAACAGATCCAATCAGCACATTGAGTAGATAATCATCCATGGGGAAATTCCCATTCATGATTACTTCTCCCAACTCTTTCGCTTCTGATATTAGTCTTTCTGAAATCAAGCTAAAAACGAATTCTTTATAATCATTGGATCTTGGTGCAACTCCCAGCTTCCTTTTTTTCTTCAAAACCATCTCTACATCGACCACATTTCCCATTCCTCTCAATGCTTCTGAAACAACTCTGTATGCTATAAAATCAGGTTTGCAGTCTCTTTTCCTCAACTCATCCAAAGCCACAACGGACTCTGAGACGAAAGAAGAAGAACACAACCCATGCATAACTAAAACAGCAATAATGGACCCGATAATTCCCGAAAAATCGATTTTCCGGACTTCCTCTAGCACATTCAAAGTCATTTCCAGTCCTTTATAGCGACAGAAATTCCACACAAACACACCAAAACCAAGTGTGTTCAATTGAACACCTCTCAGATTCATTTCATCGAACACATTTTGGGCGCCACAAAGATCTCCTTCAGAGGATAAAGCAGCAAGAAGCGAATTGCAAGTTTGGGGTCCGATTTCTGATAATACTGAACTGACCTCTTTGAAAGTAGAAAACGCGACTTGAGTTTTCTTACTACTGATCTGAGAAGCAATGACAGCTCGATAAACATAAGGTGGAAGGATGAGCTTCTGGGATTTGCTCTGCTTCAAGATCCTTTCTACGGCAATGAAGTTGCGGGAATGGGAGAGGGCCTTGATAATTGACTGATAGGATAATGAATTGTGAGAAAATCCAGGTTGCTGAGAGGACCAGTCGAAGAAGCCCAAAGCAATAGAGTGGTGATGGAGGAGGTATGGGTCGATTACACGGGCAACTAGTGTTGGACTGAGTAATTGCCGACATCCAAGGCGGTGCAAAGCTTGCTCCAGTGACGGCGTCCACTTCCATGTCTGACTTGGGGCGACTTGTTTCGTTGCGGTTATCAAAGTTTTACTTATGATTCTTGCTAACTCTCCTCGAGATGGATTGATCATAACCTATAAACTCTTCTTGATAACCATGGCCGTCTAATGCACTTGGAGGTCCCTTTTCAAAATACAAATTTGAGGCCCCTTTTAATGTAAAAAACTAAAAAATATTCTCAATCTAAATTCTTTTTTTTTGTAACAAGGGGGCTTATATTGATAATAAAACATTCAGCATGGAACAAAAGAGATAAAGGAAACACTTCCAGCCACCAACCCTCGAACGAGCTTGAGAACCAATCACCCTAGACAGAGCAATATGGTTCGCTTGTCCTGTAATGGGTCTAAATGAGCCAAACGTGACCAGAGCAAAACCCTCATCACCCCTACCTAATGTAAGAGTCTGACAGAAATAAACGTATGTAACAAACAAAACAAGATGACAATCAAAGTAAAAACACAAGCAAACTAAAACAAAAATAGAGATAGCCTTCCAAACCCTAGTCTCGCGATTCCCCCGTGGCGGCGATTCAGGAGGGGGACGAATCAACATCTCTTCATCTTCTTTCGCCCGTACGTGATCACCCCCACTGGCCCTAAAATTCTCTGATCCCAAATCATTCACCCCCCTCATGATCCCGGCTAAACACTACTTAGTAGCAGAAACGTCGAGGCCCCTTATGACCCAGGTAACGATGCTCATGACTTCTTCAACAGCACCACTCGTGACCAAACTTGGAAATCCAGGCTCTGTTCGAACAAAGCCGAGCAAAAACTGAAGCGAGGCTCTGCTTCCCTTCCTTCGCCGAACCCCCTACCCGAAGAACTCACCGAGGCAAAGCCCTCCCCTCACCGACTGATAGCCGTAGAAACACTGTCGCGAATCCTCCCCTCTTGATCGAGGTAGACGGCGGCGCAGCGACAAACTAACCCTAGAGATCCTAGGGAGACGTCCGCTTGAAAAAGTTTTATTAAAGGCGTTTTCAATCTAAATTCTTATTACACTCAAATCAATTGATTACTCATTAAATATTGCAAATAAAAAAAATACACAATTTATGAGGGCATTATTATACGGTAGTGGAGTATGAATTTAACAGCAGCCCATATTCATATACGATACACTATAATATTATATTATTATTATTATATTATATAATTAATTAATTGATGTTAGTGACCTAAAAATAATACTAATAGTGCCCTATAGATATGGGGTCCCATGAGAAGTGGGCCCTGTTCTGTTGAACCAAATTAACAGGCTAAAAGACGGCCCTATGATAACGATAATGTCTTCCAAGTTCCATCGATGCCTGTCATGGAATCACATAACTACATAAGAAGATAGGCGGTGGATTGTGAGGAAAAGTTTGTGAAATTTGTGGTAAAAAATTTTGAAATTTTATAATATAAATATCACATTTTTCCTTTTTTTTACGAAGTAAATAAGAGTTAATGTACCAACCCCTCTCGTAAAATATAAATTCAGCGCTTTAGTCCTTGTGATTTAAAAACTGCATCAAATTGCTCCTATGTTGTAGTTATTCATGTGCAAAAGCCCTTATATGAACAAATTTAATTGCTAACTGAATGAAAAATAATTAATATTTTTGTATTATTTAGAAATCTTGACAAAGTGACTTGCATATTCAATCATATTATTAAGAAAAGGGATTTCAAAATATCAACATTTGTTCTTAGAGGGGTTTTGCACATCAATAATTATAACAAAGGGTGTTTGACAATTTTTTAAATGACAGGCGCCAGTGCGCTAAATTTATATATTATAATGGGGTTGGTGTATTAAACTCATAACAATCTAGTTTGATGTTATGATTAGGAAACCGGATCGGGAAGCGACCCACCCTTGTAACCGGGTCACGGGTCAACCCGGACCCAATCGGGTGAACCCGGTCAATGCTATAAAACTGGTCAACCATTACACAATAATAAACATATAATTGTATACAAAATTAAAATAAAAAGTAGTTCTTTCATAATAATCAACTAATAATAATACTTACTTAACACTTAAAAGTTAAAAAAATTCATAATATTCCAAAATACCATTTTGATCTTATTAAAATATATTAATATATTCTTTTTGGGGTATTAAAATTGCAATTTTATTGGTTAAAAATGCTTTAAAATTTAAAAAAAATGGAAAAACAACCAAAGTGAGTTTTCCCGAGTATATCGGTTTTCTGGGTCCGGGTTTGGACTGGGTTTTGCCGGGTCGACTGGGGTTTTCCGGTTTTTGATCATTTCCGGGTTTGTAATTAACCATACCAGGTTACGGTCCGGGTCACCGGGTTCCGGGTCAGGTCGGTTTTTTAAACATAAGTTTGATGGTGCTCCAAAACGGAAAAAAGTGACGTCCAGCATGAAAATCATCCACTGAACCAAATATCATGTTGTTACCTAAATTGTTAAGGACTTTTTCTATATTCATTCTACCTTGAGGAGTAAGGCTTACGCATATCGGCACTTATGAAACTACTTGTTTTGATACGCGTGTTCCGCGACTAAACAAATGCTCAATATTATTTGTTTTAAAAAACGTTTTCACAAAGTATATATTTCTGATAGAGGTAGATTGAAGTCTATTTGGTGAAATCTTTAAGAAACAAGTAAGCAAAAAGGGTTCAATTTGTGGAAGAGAAATATTTCCTTTACATGTAAATATATCATCTTCCATAATTTTTCTTGATATGATAACTTAAATTACACCCAAACGTATGTACATAATAACGTATATAGATTAGGGAGTAAGAGTGTGTATTTCAATGTGATGCAATCACTTGTACAGTTGGGGCAAAAGTTAATCCAAATACCTTTATTTCACAAATACTCTTATTTCCCACTCACAATTATTCTAGTCTTGACCTATCCTAATCTTACATTGGGTGCAATCAACCTATAATTGTTAAAAATAACATCACACTTCCAGTCCAGTGCCTCTCCACTTGTGCAGTCACATGCCCTCGCTCCCATCCGCGCGTACATAGTAGGTAGCTCAGTGCCAACGCCCCGGGACATTCACTTCATCACCCCCTATTTAGACATGGCTTTATGACTCTCTCTGTAAGCTTAAGCTAATATAATTTTGTAAGTCTTGGAGCTAATATAACTGCTACTGACCTATTTCATTTCAGCTTCAGGTAATCGGAGTTAAAATTTCAAACCATGACTTTGTGCTTCTACAACCTTAAATTTTAAAACTTTCATGCTGAAATACCTTGGTTTTGTCATTTGAAAAGACGCCTTAACTTTAGAGGTTGAAAATTTGATTTTTAGGCAACCCTAACATTTCATCTCTCACAAAAATAGAGAGCCAAATAAAGTCATAATGGCAGTTTCGGAGTACAAAGTAATATGAATTTGAATATATTTCTCTAGCCTAATATTGTTAGAAAAGGACCAAACATGATAGTTAAAGGGGTAAAGGCCGCATCTAAAAATGATATGATACCCCCCTATATATGTTTTAAAAAATTATTTAGAGTAGTACATCACATTTACAACTGAAATACATAACATGGACTGGTCATTAAAAGTTTAGTATACACACATTATATACTTCATATTACCCTTCACACAAAAGTCTTTGTGGTCAAATTTGTGAATGAATTTACCATCCATAAACAAAAAAGTGAAACAGTTAAAAAAAACTCTTTATTAGCATCATAGAAGAGTAAATAAACAAGACCTTAGCTAACAATCTTAGAATAATATATACTCTTCATATCACATGCATTTAAAAAGGGACAATGAACAAGCAAGTCTTGATTTCCTTGAGCTTAATTTTTCGGTTAACTTTTTTGTTTGTTCAATGTTAATCTGTTACGTAGTACACGATTCTTCTTCAGCAGAAAGTATGATGCGAAGTAAGAGTAATCTTGTCACTTGACTTTTTTAGTATAAGTTCCATTTCCACAAATTTTGAGTTCTCCTACATTATTCTAATAAAATGAATTGTACGAGTATTTCATTTACTTTTCAAGAGAAGAAAGGATGAGTTTTTGGGGTTAGCTCACATTGTCGAAAAAGTCTCTTAGACAGATTATTGGGTGACAACTTCTTACATTCATTTCAATGGCTTCACATTAAAAATACAAATTGCAGAAAGGACTTCACTTTACAGAAAATAATGTTTTGAGATTCATACAACATGTATGTGCAACTAAAGGGGAATTGAAGTATAAATCTGCAAAATTTTTTGCATTTAGCTAAAGACATTTTACCCCTCATCACCCAGAGTTATAGCAAAAAGCCAAAAATTTAGTACTCAAGAAAAGTCTACTTATTAGGTAGACTTATGACCAAAGAGCATTCATTTGAGTAAATTTGATATAATCCTTTTGTAAACTTATACTCATATTATTTAGAAACACATCTTCATGTCAGTTCTAAAAACTATTTCATGCCCCTATGAGTTAACTGTATTTGAACCCTCAATACCATTATAGAACTTTATTTGAGACTTGTTCTTACCCGATTTCATATAGGGAGGTGGAAGTGAATTGCTCTTACCTAATTTCATATATCGCCGTTACTAAATCTTAAAGCAGGAAGAATATTTACGTTTCACAAACAATACCCACAACAATGTTCAGTAGGACAGTAAACACAAGAAAAACATCCAGCAAATAGATGGTAAGGAGTAAACGGCTAACCTGGAGATCGAACGCTGGCGAGGAGTGAAACAAAAACTCAGCCAAGTGTGGAAAGCAGAATTATAAAGGACTCATTAAAATCGAGAGAACCTCCTGGGTTCGATGCGCTGGAGTAAAAGAAATCGTGGGGGCGGTCAAGTGAGAGTCTGGTCTGGTCTTAACTGGTCTGGTCTGGTCTGGTCTGGAGCAACTTACAGTCCAAGTAAAAACATCCTAATACATACCTCTTGACAGAAAATTAAACGGAGAAAGTATTTAAGTCCCTTAAAACTTTGTCAAGTTTGACCGGGACGAGATTAATAAAGTAAAAAATGTGTGGTTGAAGTTTGTGCAGAAGAAAGGAAATTAACCGGAACCACAAATTCTTTACCTAAAAAAAGTGGCAAAGTTGGTGGCAAAGTTAGCAAAATTTTAAGGGACAGAAGTATAAAATTTTGATAGATTCTATGGTACCCATAAGGTACCGTACCTTTGTTCACATGGACCAATCAGAATCATGCAGTTGAATTATTTAAATCTAAATTAATAGGGATTTAATGATTTGGATCAATCAAATGCATGGTATGTATGGTACCCCCATTTTTTAAATGGGTACCGGAGTTGTAACCTACAATATACAAAGTCCCAACAAACTTTTTATACCCAAATTAGTCTAACCTTGATTCATGTTTACAAGTTTGTCTATAGATTTTTTTTGTAAGAGTAGATTTTTAAACACAATAATGCGAGTACAATCTTTTTTTCAAACTATGAGTGAGATATGACCCTCTTCATTTTCTACCTCCTTCCTATTATCTCTAATAGATTTATTTTATTAATATGAAAACCAAAATTTTATTTATAATAAAAACATAAAAAGTTAAAAAGTATAAAAATATTTCTAAATTATTAATAAAAGAAAAAAACAAAATTTAAATTAAAATCAAAAGAAACAAAAAATTAAAAAATAAAAAAAAGTAAAAAAAGAAAAAAATAATAAAAAAAATACAAAAAAATATGTAGGCTTCTACCACCACATCCTCCACCTCTTAGCATCACCAGCTCCGATCGCAGGAAAAATGGTTTCTTGTGTAAAAATGTCACATTTCTATGAAAATGTCATAAAGATGACATTATACTCTTTAAAAATATCCACTTTTGCTTTCAAATATAGCCATCACGGTGACATTCTTTTGCAAGTTGGCATTTTTTCCGTCGACCTGAGGTGGCGGTGATGGAAGATGGCTAAGGTGGTGGTTGAGACATGTAATTTTCATTTAAATTTAAATTTATTATCTTTTGTTTGGTTGTTATGATAGGAAGAGTTATTCCTATTTTGGAAATTCAAACTTTATGCTCCTATATTGCAATTTTGCTTTTAATCTTTTATCTACTCCTATTTAGGGTTAATAGCCCTAAACTAATCATTTACATAGAAAGTTGTGGAAACTACACAAATTAATCAAAGCTAAACTGAAACTTAAGCTAAAGTAATTAATGGCAAAACAAAATTAAACTGGCAACCCGTTTGGTGATCATGTTTTCGGTTTATCAGCCTCATCAATCAACCTTTTCACCAAACACGTAACTTTTGATTTCATGCACTGAGTTTTGTAAAAATCCAAATAATTAAGATTGAAGTTACTTTTTTTGATGGATTGCATAAAGTTATTTTAGAAAACCAATTTAGATATTTCTCATTTATATATTTTCTTTATATAGTGTAAGTATAACTTTTCATAATTTTGCAAAATCAACCAATGCAGCTTCTACAGCATAAAGATTTTCATAAATTTCAGTAAAATAGGACGATTCAGTCAATTTTAGTGAAACTAAACTAATCAAAGAGTTGTTTTGTCTAGTGTTTTTAACTTAAACCAATCGACAAATGCGTATATAGTCAGTTTGATGCTTTATGTGCATCTATGTTTACGTCTCTTTGTTGATGACATGTTACTTTTTGGAACTTATCAAAATTAGATTGATAAAATGAAGAAATTGTTTTTTTTCAAAGTATTTCCATCAAACACGTGAGGGAGGCGAATGTAATTGTTGGGACAAGGACTAAACGGGCAAACAAAGGAACTGTATTGACACAATCTCAATATGTTTAAAATTCTCAAAAAGTTTAATTATAATGATCATTCTTCGCTCACACTCTCATGCATGGATCCTAGTGTGAAGTTAATGTCAATAAAGGAATAACAATAACACAATTAGAATATTCTTAACTGCTCAACTGTTTGATGTTCGCCGGGCCCATATTGCTTCTTATGTTGTGAGTAGGTTCAGTCACTAAACTTGTAGTTGGAGTACATACACAATATTAACAACAGCTGGAGGGGAAATTCGCTGAAGCGCTTGCTGGGAGAGTGGGAGTCGTTGCAGTAGCTAAACGCAGGGGGTTGTGTTGGGAGTTGAGACTTGGCCTTTAGGCTTTTGGGGACTTGGGCTGCGGGCTGCTCCAAGAAGGTTTTTAGGATTGGGCTGACACAAGAGAAAGGTTAAGGTAAAGGGCTTTTGGGATTGGGCTGCAGGTGCTCAACTAATTAAATATTAATATCTATATATATTATAAAAAAACCGCAGGTGCACAGGCACCTCCGGGCACTGGGCTGGTTCCGCCCCTGTTGACAAGCAATTCAAAGAGTATACAAGTATCTAAAAGAAACTATGGATCATGATTTGTGTTACTTGGGTGTCCCTCGATGTTGGAAGAATGTTGTGATGCAATTTAGATATCAATGCAAAGGATCATTCTTCTTTAAGATCATTCTTCTTTAAGTCGTTGAATATGCTTGCTCACGGAGGTGTCACTTCCTCTGCACCAAAAAGAAATTTTGGATTAGAAGCTCAGCAATGGAAATTGAGTTTTATGGGAAGCCATTTTCAATCAGATAAACGCTCACAAAAGTCTTCTACGTATAATGGTTAGTCTCTCCACTTTCCTACTTACAATAAGTCATGTTTTAACTCCACTTTTTAAGAAAAGTGTTATTCATTTATTTAGTGATAAAATGACAACTATGAAAAACAACAACCCACTAAAATCAAGTGTAAACTTGGTTAGTAGTGATGATAATTTTATTGTGGTTGTTTCTCAAAGTTGTAAAACTAATGATGTGAATGAGTGAGTGGTAGACTCCGGGGCTACCAAGCATATTTGTAAAAACAAAAATGCTTTTACCTATTGTATCACTATAGGAGATGGTGAAGACCTCGTGTACCCAGCGGACTTGAAAACCGTTAAAGTGCATGGAAAAGGGAAAGTTCTTAAGCTCACATCGGGGGGAAACTTTATCACTAAATGATGTGATTCATGTGCCTGAGATTCGGACTATTTTAGTTTTCATTTATCAATTGGGAAAAGTTGGGGTTAAAGTTTCTTTTGGTTATGACAAATTTGTTATGACCAAAAATGATGTTCTTGTGAGAAATGACTATTGTAAGAATGGACTTTTTGTGCTTCGTATTTCTGAAATATTGCATGATAATGGTTCTGTTTATTTAATTGATTTTTATGATGTGTGGCATGTTAGATTAAAACATGCAATTAATTCTTTTATTAAAATGTTAAATGATTGTGGTTCGGTTTCTAGTAAAAATAAAATGACAATAGAAAATGTGATATTTGTGTTCAATCTAAACTAACAAAAAAAAACTTGTCCTTCCACATATAGGGAATCAGAATTGCTTAGTTTGATTCACACAAATTTAGGTGATTTAAAAAAATACGATGACTAGAGGTGGTAAAAAAAATTATTATGTCATCTTTATAGATGATTTTTCTAAGTACACTAGATAGAGTTTATGTGCTTACAAATAAAGGTGAGGCTTTTGATAAATCTTTAGTGTATAAATCTGAGGTAGAAAAATCAATTAAGAGAGTTAGATCGAATAGAGGGGACGAGTATATTTTATTTAATGTTCTCTGTGAATTTTAGAAGGGTTATGCACCTGTTTTTAAATATCTAAAATTGTGGGGGTGCTTAGCTAAATTTTTATTACCTATCCCATTGAGTGGAAATGAGCTTTATAACTTTTGGCTATCTTTGCACAAATTGAAACAATGGAGCACATAATTTTTATAAATTGAAGAATTAGTGTGCTAATGTGCAATACTTTATGCTATATTATTGTTAATATTAATGTGATCACTTTTGGAGAATGTGTACACACGAAATGATGAATGTATGATTATCTGTTTATACATTGTTAAAACAAAAATGCTGAATTTTTTAAAAAATGTGTTTCCTTTGAAATTTGAACACTAGACCGTTGCACCATATAGTGAGTATAATCCATTACAAGGAAATGAAACCTTTAATGATGAACTCTCTAGTGATAGTGATCCATTAAAACAAAATTATTATTCTAATGATGAATCTTCTTTTTTGAAAAGAAGTAAGAAGTCAAATATAGAGAAATCTTTTGGAAATGATTTTTAAACATATCTTATTAATGATGAATTTTGACTTATTTAGAAACTATTTTAAAAAAACATTTTTTTCTTGGGGCCATATAAACTGAAATTGACTCTATTCACAAACTGTTTTCATCAAGTGGATGTTAAAATTGTGTTGTTAAATGGAGAGCTAGAGGAAGAAATTTATATGGTGCAACCGGAGGGTCATGTGGTTACTGGTCAGAAATACAAAATGTGTAAGTTGATTAAATGTTTATATGGTTTGAAACAAGCTCCAAAACAATGGAAATGAAAATTTGACGAAGTGTTATTTATTTATGATTTTACCTCATAAAATCATTATTACTTCTAAAGTGTGTGTGGATTAAATGTGAAAAGTTGTGTGCATTATTACTTGCTTATATGTGGATGATATTTGATTTTGGAAATGAAAGTCAAAAGGAAGGATAATGACTATAAAACTTCTAAAGAGATTTGAAGATTTTGATGTCAGATCACCACTGTGAGTATCCCTTATGATTCTCATATACACTTAAAAAAACATAGAGGTGACCCTGAGGCTCAATATGAGTATTCCCAAATTATTGGATGTTTATTACACTTGATGTATTATACGAGGCCCGACATAGTTTATGTTGTCGGAAGATTGAGCCAATATACTGATACCCCAAATAGGGATCATTGGACTGTGTTGAGACGGTTATTGAGATATTT